TTACACTGGAGATGAAGAAGACAATCAGAAATGTCTTTGTTCATATTAGAAATAAGTTCGGTTTTGCCGGAGATGAAGAAGATGATTGGAACTTGGCCAGAAATGGTGACTTGCACTCTTAAAAAGCATTCCAACATGTCGTTTGTGGGCTTAAAAAGAGATGGAGGTAGGGTTTAAGATGGAGCATTCCAATTTTTAGAAATATGAAGGGGGGGGGGGGTGTGAAATCCCAAGTTGCCCCCTTAAAAAGCATTCCAACATTCAGAGAGGGAGGACATACTTGTCGTTTTGCCCTTGTTTGAAATATAAAAGGGAGGCAAAATTCCAAGATTGTCCTCCTTAAAACAACATTCCAACTTTCAAAAAGGGAGGGCAAACTTGCCCTTTTTCCCAAGGATGAAACAGCGGCCACTAGGGCTGCAATTTGCTTTGCTTTTAACGGCCACTACTCTGAAACGTGACGGCGATGGAATAGAGGCACGCAGCCGCTTTGCTCCGCACCTTCGCAATAGCGATCGCTATTGACTACTATGCTTATACCCTTTTTAAGAGCAAGAATAACTAAGAAAGACACACTTGAAAGAATGGGAAAAGAGCTTATATAATCCAAGAGTAAGATTATAAATAAAAGATGTAGACCCAAAGACTCGAAGAGAAATAGGAGAAAAAGAGTGATGAGGATAGAGAATTTGTTGATGAGATTGATTGTTTAAGACATCAGATGGCATTTTATTGACAAGATAGCAGGTAGTCAAAATAACATCACTCCATAAATAATGAGGAATATATAAGTGAATTAGAAAAGTTCGAGCAGTTTCAATATGATAATGATTTTTTGTTGTGCAATCCCATTTTGATAGAGTATGAGGACACAAAGTTTGATGAAGAATGTTATGAGAGATCATAAAGGTTTGAAATTGTGTAGATACATGTGTATTGTCACTTTGTAACTTACAAATTGAAATTCCAAATTGAGTCTTTATGTCACTATAAAAAGATTGGATGATAAAAAATAATTTAAATCATTCTTTTATTAAATATAATCAGGTACATTGAGAATTTTTTTTTTATGATAACAAAGTATTTAAATCCTAATGTAAACGCAAAACGACTAGAACCTCAAATATCAAAGTGAACTAAAACAAAAGGAGAAGAAATTGTATTATTTGAATGACTTGGAAAAGAATTATGAATGTGTTTACCTAACTGGCACAACTCACAAGACAAACACAGTTCTGAAAATTTTTTTCACCAATAGGCAGTGGGTCCACTGGATAAAACATGGACTAGGGTTTGTCTCTCATTAGGCTCTAGATACCATGTTGAGAGAGAAGAGATTGAGAGACAGAGTGAAATCCGTGTGTTTGAAACACTGCAAAGAGCTTTATTTATAATGATAAGGTAATAATTAGAAAATATTATGTTACATATTTACCATAAATAACGCTATCTAATGTAATAAACAAATATTTCCTATTTATTTACAATTGTTCTCAACATAGGTAGACATTTCATCAAGGAAAAATCTAGAAGCAGGCCAGGTCTGTTTGTCATATATTTTGTATGGACAGTAGGTAGCTGATGTTTTGTCCAAGAGGCTGAACAATTCTAATTTACATGATCTAATTACCAAGCTGAGAATGGAAGACTTCTATTCCTCAGCTCAGTGTCGAGCTGTAAATTTAACACTTCTTTCAGAAAACAAATTTCAAAATTGAACCACTTTTTAGGCTTTAGAAACAAAAAATTGAGAACATCTAGAAGAAGTTTGGGTTCTGGTTTTTAGTTTTCTAAGTTTTCACTCAGGTAATTCATTTTTCTTCTCCCACAGAATCTTGCTTTCCCAAACCCTGTCTAACTTGACTGAGTGTGAACAACTTCTTATGATGGAGATGGGTAATTGACCAGATTGTAGTATGCAGCAGAGTACACTAAGCAACAGTGTAAGGAGGGGATGGGGTTCACATTGGTTTTGGTATGACTAGTTCTTGTGGAATTATAGCTTGTGTTTGGTGGCTAGAGTTGACAGACAATGGAGACTGGAGGCAGGAGTGGGTTTACTGTCGACAAAGCTGATGAAGGCACTCTTGAATAAATGGAAACCATAAGTTGCCACCAAACAGAATCTACTTTTAAAGGTTGACGTGCAAGTCATGCAGTGCGTGACAGCAATACTGAACATAATTTTTTGTTTTAATCCCTGTATGAAACAAATTTATACCTAGTCACTGCATGAAAAAAATCTACATTTTGGTCCCTGCACCTGCCCACATTTTTTTCACACTAGTCCCTGCAAGAAAAAATACTGTAACAATTATAGTGTCAACAGATAGAAAGGACGAACTTGTAAAAGAAAATTTCATGTAAGGACCAAAATGTAGAGTTTTTTCATATTGGAACTAAACAAAAAATAGTGCCAACTGTAGGGATCAAATTTTTAACACGAATTATTTTAGTGTCAGATTTGAAATTCCTTGAATTAAGGGATTTTGTTTAGGTGTCTCGCTAGGAAGTTGTTTATGGTTATTAGGATATTATTTCTGATTATTATGGGTGATTTGTTTCCTTCTATGTAGCCTTGTACCATGCATAATTAATTGTTTGAAATCATCGTTGAATCATCCTATTCCCTCTTCTGACAGTGGTTTTCCGTTAACTTTTAGTGCACATACCAGAATCTTCAATGTTTAATTCAAACACATGGATTTCATCATGTCTTTTGTTTCCTTTTCAACTTAACAATGCTCATTTGTTTAAGGGGGTTTCATTTCGGCACATTCATAAAGATTTGAGAACACTTTTGAGGATTTTTTATTTTTCACAACACATCAAGTTTGTAGGATAGTTGGTTTAGGAGATGGTCTATTCATATTTTCCCTCATTCTTCCAAGAATAAGTTTGTTGAAAAAGAGAAAAGGGAGAGAACATGTAGATGAATCTGTATGTCTTAACTGTGCAATGGAACATATATTTATATTGATAATAATAATAATTACAGAATACTTGATTACCTAATTAACATAATTACTAAGATAAACTTTCCTATTACTACATATATTTAACACCTCCTCCTCAAGCTTGAGATAGGTCATATGCACCAAGCTTGTCACATATATAACTATTACTAGAACCTCATTGATTTGATGAAGATATTTGTTAGTTGATCATTCGAATTGACACTTTCAGTGGTTATGTCTAGATAAGATTTTCTCCCTAATGAAGTGATAATCTATGTTAACATGCTTTATTCTTTCATGAAACCATAAATTTGACGCAATATGCAAGACTATTTGATAAAGGGGCTAGTGATGGTTATGTCTAGATAAGATTTTCTCCCTAATGAAGTGATAATCTATGTTAACATGCTTTATTCTTTCATGAAACCATAAATTTGACGCAATATGCAAGACTATTTGATAAAGGGGCTAGTGATGGATTGCAGCCATGGATAAGAATCAACAAATAAGGCCATTTGGCCTCTAGACAAGCTTTAAGACAATCAATATGGCCATCAAGGCCAACCTTGACAGTGTAAATCCATTTGCATCTCATAATAGACTTTCCCAAAGGAAGAGAAATGAGGTTCAAAGTACCATTGCTCTGAAATGCACACATCTCATTGATCATATGGCCAACTAGAATGGAAAAGAGCATCACTTGTATTTTTAGGAATAGAAATAGAGGACGAGAAAAGACAAGTATAATGGGAAGGGCAAAAAATGATATGTTAAGGCAATATAATGAGAAGAGGGATTATGAGTTGAATATATACCTCTCCGAAGATCATACTCAGGAGGCAAGGCTGGAGCAGGTGCTGCCAAAGGTAAGTCAGAAGGAGGCTCATCACTGAGCAGTGGCAAAGAGGATGTAGGGTTCTGTCTGTGGTATACCTGTAAAAGATGTTGAAGAAGACTATCTGAAAGAGATGGCATCTCTAGTGGTTGAAAAATAATAAGAATAGGAGGAAGAAACGAGAGAAGTGTGATAGACTTTCAGATTAATAACAAGAACAAAAATTGAAAATGTGACATTTTCTTTACTCTATGGTCCAACTAAGTTGTAGGAAGCAGATATTTTGACCAAGGCCCTGTTGAAGTCGTACTTTTAGTCAATATTAACAAGGTAGGGATGACTAATATCTATTCCCCAGCTTCAGTGGGGAGTGTTGGAAAGGCAGTCCCACATATTATGGGATTTTTCAGTTTCTCTCATTAGTCAACCATTCTGTTTTTATTTCTTTTGGTAAGTTTCAGGGATTCCTAATTAATAATAGGAATTGTCTATTTTTTGTTTCCTTTTCTGTTCTATCATTCTGCCTATATATGTACTCCATCGTTTGAATAAAGTAGAGAATAATAATTCCTCTATTTTCTGCTCTTCTGACAATCAGTTCCTAAATTTTAGGGAATGAATTCAACTAAGGGAACTAGAGAATATGACAAAATCAAACAATATCATTATTCATAATCAGATTCTAATCTATGCATAATGAACAAAGCCCAAAGAGGTCTTGCATGAGGGGCATGTTAGAGATGTAATATAAAATCATTCATGTCCTAAAGAGCTTACATTTTTGGTACAGTTGGTTTATGACAGGGCTGATGCTGGTATTTTAATTGATTTATTAATTCCCCACCCCCCTAAATTTTTGTTAGAGGATTCCTAATCTTTCCATTATTCTCTACTCCTTCAATGGATTCTTCTTTCATCCAATGAAATAACTTCCCTTGTGATAGAAATATCAAATATGTTAGACATGATGGTTTAAATAATCAAAGCAAAGTTCCCATTCTCTTTGCTGAATGAAAAAGAAAAAAGAACAGAAAAGAAATCCCATCAGCTTTTAAGAATATGTGCATGTGAGGATGCGGTTTCTTGAAATGTCATTTTCTTCTTGTACTTATTATTTGTTAAGAAGTCTTTTTAGTTTTATTGTCTTTTCCTTATGCTTGAACTATGAACTAATTAATGTATCCTTGCATATATTATGTTTGTCTCAGGAGAGAATTTCATGTGGGACAGAGGATTCAGAATTATGTGAGAACTCTTTGCAAATCTTCATTTATTAGATGTAATTTTTTTTTGTTAAATTCTGTGTTCTGCCTAATAATACACTGCTTCCTTATTATTTTCTTTACAGTGGCCGGGTGGTCTGAACGAACCAGGTGAGATGGTGGATGGTTTTGGAATGTCAACACTCAACAGTTCAATTATTGTTTACAGGACTGGCTTATGATTGTTTTCTTTGACAATGTTTGATGTACAGGAAAGTTGCAAGTTTCTTGGACCAGAGTTTTCTACATGCAAGTAAAAAAAGAGAGGGGCATGTTATGAACTTTTCGCAAGTTTTAGGAGGACGACTCAGGAAAGAATGTGCAAGGCTATTTTATGAAATACTGGTACGTTCAATTTGTGTTTTAAGATTATATTCATGCTCATGAAAAAGTTTTAGTGACTTCATATTTCTTGTGGCAAATTTCTATCTTCATTTTTTGTTCAGAAATCAGAATTATGCATTATTGTCTTTATTACTCATGTGGTTCTGTAGATGATAACATACTTTTGAGATGTTTAAAGAAGGAAAATCCGTTCTTAATAATTATCATCCCTATTTTATCTGAATGATAAGAATAGGAAAAAGTGTAATCTTTATTGTTAGTTTGGTTGGTGATAGACTAGTGATATACTTCTATAATGCCTTTCATTTTTAATGGATCAACTTTGAAGACCAGTGGGAATATAAACTACAACGCAAGCCAATAGAGAACTTAATTTTTCCCATTATTAGTAGTCATTATCGATAATGGCAAAACAAGCTGATCCTTTCCTTTAATAAAATACTTTATAATTATAATTTAATCGTTTTTTCCACATGAACAAGATATTGCCATTGGTTTTTAACAAGAGTGAGGATGCTTGAATATTCAGAGGAAAAACATTTGAGAGAATTACCAGTTCATTCGTGATTTAAAGGAGACCACAGCTTTTTCTTTTTTCTATTCATGGGTTGGACCTCAAAATTGACTTTTCGAGAATTTTATCTGTCAAGATGCTTACTTATGGAATAGAAAATCATCTTAACCCCTTTATCAGAGGAAGGAAAAAGATCATAACCTTTTTTTTCTGTCTAATGTTTTTCAGGTTTTGAGCACTACAGGTTATGTAGATGTGCAGCAAAACAAGGCTTATGGTGATATTGCAATCAGTAAACACTCAAAATTAGATCAAACTTTTCGATTTGATAGTCTGTTAAATGATGTAGGTAGATGCTAGAGGTGATTTGTAAATAGCAAGTTGATAGGATTCTGGTATCTTCTTTTGCAAGTTTTTCATTTTGGTATTATTCTTTTTGTTTTATTGTACAGCATTATTACTTGTTATTTTATTTTAGTAATACTCTGCCAAATTTGTGGATTTTCGCCACAAAGTTCCTCTGTACAGTGATGGTAGAGTTAGCAACTTCAAAATTAAAGCGATGATCTGTTTCATCTTTCTCTCTTAAGAACTTCTCTATCAATTTATTTCACATCTCTAAAAATTCAAGTTGGTATCAAAGTCTAGAGAATGCCCTAAATATCGTGTTTCGTTACATCGTAATTTTTTTGTGAACTAAATGTGCCAATTTATATATGATTATTACATTATTTTATATTTTAGTTGATGGGTATCTTGTTTCTTCGACTAGAAAAAGAAAAACGAAAAGTTTCACGATCAATCTTACACAAGTTCATGCAAATCTATACTCGGTTGGTATAGAGATATATTTCACTAGAAAAATGCTTAATGGTGCGAATTAATTGCACGAGAAGAGTAGAAAACGTATTATTATTATTATAAACACTCACCTGATTTCTGTCAAATTCATTATTTTTTTCGGTTTTAAATTTAATTTTTATCGAATAAAACATGAACAAGTGGTTTCGTATTAAATTTATATAGAGTTCTTCGTTCTGCACTAATTTCGCTTGAATTGAAAATTAAATATGCGAACATCAAATTGGATGGGCAGAAGTGCATCTAAAGTTTCTTTGAAAATGGATATGACTCAATTGACAAAACAAAATGGAAAATATGGGCGTATTTACGATTAATCTAAATCGACTATGTTTATTAATTACGTTACTTTAAATTTATCTTTTTAACTTGACACGTCTTTCCACAATAAATTATTGGAAACTATGATCCATCCAACAAGGAAATGCATTGAACATGTCCGCTTCTACCAAATTTCTCAGAGAAAAAAACACAGAATTCGAAAATTATATTGTATCAGAATTTGTTACTTCCACGTCAGTGTACCAAACAGCATTGAGCATTGGATAGAAAAATGATTCTCCTTTTGAGATAATATCACCAGATTCTTTAGTGCCCATTAATTTTTACTGAGTTTTGCCTGTGCTAATGTGAACCATTAGCAGCTATTAAGCATAGGAGGATGGGACTAAATTATTAAAAGGATAATAATAATAATAATTAATAAATCTAAACGAATTTTTTCATGTGGAGGATACATGTACACTTGAAAAAATTATATTAATTATTAAACTCTTTTTATGTTTTTATTTATTATAAAATTTATATTAACAAGACACTTATTATCCATGCAAGTTAATATATTAAGCATTTTAATATAAAACTCACTGATTTGTAATTTAATATTATAAGTATTTTTAAAATTGAGTATAAATTTAGAATATATAACTAATTTTTATTAATTTTATTAAATTAGTTATTTATTGATTTTATAAAAAGACCCGGCAATGTATTCTACACGATATCAATGTCAAAGTCTACTGTCATTGATATTAGTGCCTTATTAATCACGTTTGGATTTTGTTTTAATAGAAAATAATCACTTCTACATTTGAAATAATAACAATAATAATCTTTCCCAAAATCTTTTGACTATGATTCAAACACACGCATATATTATATTCCAATTGGCCATATATTTACTTATCTGCTACAGATTCCTTGTATGGTGATAGCGATACCTTATTTGATTGTCAGATAAGCATGTAAGTTTGCTGATTTAAGAAAAGATGCTCTATTTGACCCCCCAAAAAAGAAAGTTGCCTTACATTTAACTTCTCCTTTTTGTATTAACAATGGCTATAAACTGTCCTACAATGTTTTTATTTTAATAATTCTCTTATATAAATATTGTATATTTTTGTAAATTATTTAAAAAATCAATAGAAAAACATTATAAATAGTCTATATTAAACATTAAACTGAGAAAATTGAAGGAAAAAAATGTATATCAAATATGTGAATTTAATATTTTGAACTTAAAAGATGCTTGAAAATTTTAAAAGACGCTCTTTACAAACTAGCTCATGAAAAGACAAATATATGAAACGGAAGAAATGATATTCTTTTTATTCAAAGGCTGAATACACGTAATGCTAAGTCAACAATGGGAAAGAGATAATATCAAAGGATAATTTTGTAATTTGAACACAAATGTTATTGCACTTAAATATTGTGATTCAGAGGATATTCTGAAGCTTCTTCTTAACTTCATTGGCTTCTTTCTTGTGTTTACCATAGCTGCTCATGTAAGATAGAACAGGCTTTGCTGTTGAAATTGAAGTGAACCAAATTCGTCTCCTAAATCCTAATCTGCAGGTACTGCTTCCTTGTCAATTGTTTATACCCTTTTCTTGTAAGATTGATATCTCCTCTCTCATCTTTAATATCAAGATCTAATTTGCATTATGATCTAAAGAAAATAGAGTAACTGTGATATCTATGAACCAAATCTTTGTTATCATGTTGCTTAATTGTTTTTCATTTTATACAATGCACCAAAAAGGAATCATTTTCATTTTCAATCTGATGTAACCTAAGGTCTAATCTTATATGTAGACATGGTAACAAAAAACAATGTTAACACAATTTTGGAAGGAATAGTAATATTCAGTAGTTATAATATTAACAGCTTTTGTCTAAATTTTTTGTTTTTAAAAAAATAGGAACATCGATACAGTATTGGGTGTTGAGTTTAAGTGGAAAACTCCATTCACTGTAAAAGAGAAAAACGATAACTATGTATAAAATATGGCAATTGAGAATAAAGTTTGAAAAGGAATAATTTTGCCAAATTGTAAAATCTACCAAGTTATTAGTTATATTTACAAATGAGATTATTGCTTCTATTTGACAGTGAAAGAAATAAAATTTATTAACTACATGGATATGTGCTGATCAAATAAAATATGAATTATAATTTAAAATATTTGGTTTGAGATTAATTTTGGTACACTGCTGCTCAATTAAAATACATTACAAATATAATTTTTATATGAATCATTACACAAATCAATAATTCATGTTCACATGACAATATCTATGGTTAATTGATATTATAAAAAATATATATTATCTGTTTATTTAAATTAAATTCTTAGTATTATTATTATGCCGTTTTATTATATTATTGAAGAATATATTTTATTTATATTATATATTATTAAGTCACTCACAAATTGTATGAATATTTTTGTAAATATAAAAAATAAAGAAATGTTTAATTTTGAAAATCTTAAAAAATTAATCTAACATAACAGGCAAGGACTTAATTTATCGATTTTTTATAAATAGTTTATTTGGTTTAATATTGACTGATTTAATTTATAATTAATTATTGAAATTAATAATATTATTGAATTTGATAAATATTTAAAATGATAATTAATGTTAATTTGATTTTGATTTTAATATGAAAGGTAAACATACTATTACAATATAAGGAAGACACGTGTCTGTGTGAAAAAAATAGATATACTTAATGTAATTCAAGAATGAGAATTTCAGTTTCATGCATATAGTATAGAAGTGAATTCATAAAAGTTAACAAAATGCATTACTTGAAAGAATTTTTTTTAATACAATTCATACAATTTAATATTTTAATTTTTAATCATCCATACAATAAAGGTTAATAAGCTCTTTTTCTTCTTTGTTTAAAAAAATTGTTTGAATAATTTCACCCATCTTGTTTTAAGCATTATCATTTTGGCTCTTAAAATCCCATATTCTTATTTTAAATAAAGGTTTTTAACATATTTCTAAAATACATAATAAAAAATTAATAAAAAAAAACTTATTAAAAAAATACATATTTAATAATAATAATAATAATAATAGTATTATTATTAAAAAGACTCTTCAACCACTAAACTCAAGTTGCCTTATTATAACGTAAGCCGCCCTTGTGGCGAAATTATTTTATCATTCCAAATAATCATTTCAGCGAAGTCACTTTTGAGTTTTGATGTTTATATAACTTTCTTTTTTCACTAGAACTAGGTTATTAGGATAAGCTCTAATTTGAATATTTTATAATTTATGACAATTTTAAATTATAAAATTCTATTAGAGACTTTTTAATACAAGGATATTGAGCTCAGGATTATAAATGATTATAAAAAAAAATAAAAGAAATTTCTAAAAGAGTTAACTTTAATTTATTTTTTCTAGTTAATAAGTTGAAAGTCCATTTGCATTTTGTTTTGTCTATCTATAATGAAATGCTCTAGCCCATTTTTCAAAATAAATAATAATAAACAAATGTAATAGTCCTAAGGAGAAATATTAAAAAAAAAAAGCATTTGAATGTGAATTTGATGTGTCCCCTTTGCCTTTGCAGGCTGCAAAATATTGAAAATTGGTGATAAGATGAACACTCTCCGCGCATTTTGGAACAGTCCCATTGGCCCTAAAACTACTCATTTTTGGGGTCCTACCTTCAACTGGAGCCTTCCTCTTGCGGTCTGCGTTTCATTATTCCATTAATCATTAATTATTACTAATTTTTTGTTCAATATATATGTATTATTAACTTCAATCATTTATTTATTTTAAATGAATAAACTTTTTAATTTTTTTAAAATTTATTAATAATATATATTTTATTAAATAAGATTAAATTAAAGATATATGATTTTTAAAGTTATAAAATATTTAAAATATAAATTCATATTAAATTAAAAAAATTCAAGGTAAGAAAAATGATGACACGATAAAAAAAATTATTTCTACTTATTCAAAATAAGTTTCTATGTCACTTTATTTATTTATTATCACTCAGTTTTAGTTACATTTTATTCTCCACACATTCAAGAACGATACATGGCCTTTAGTTTTATTATTACTGTATCTGAAGACCAAATTAAATTAAACTGCATCTAAAAAATAACAAATAAATGCGAATAAAAAATAATTCTTCAAAAGAAATAATCTAATAATAATCGTTCATCTTTAATTTTACATTAATTTGAATGACTCTGCAACTGCTATATATTTATCAGGCAGCACTGGACACAAAGAAACCACCAGAAACTATATCTGTCAATATGACCGCAGGTTAATTACTTGTATTATTCGTATTTTAATTCGTTAATTATTAGTTAATTTAATTATGGTAATTAATATTAAATCGTGCATAGCACAGTTATGTGTGGTTATTCGGCATTGTTTATGAGATTTGCTTGGGTGGTGAGACCACGTAACATACATCTTCTTGTATGCCATGCCTCCAACGAGACTGTGCAATTATATCAATTCTCAAGGTGGTTCAGAGCTCAAAGGTAATTAATTAAAATATGCTCATAAGAATTTAAATTTAAAAAAAAAATTGAAAAAAATATTCTAAAACCCTGTTTATATTGTCATATATATAATTGATGTATTTTACTTTTATGTGAAAGAGCCATAAAGAATTGGCCAATGAGGAGAAATTTGACTTCTTGAATAATTTATAGGAGATTAAAATGTAATTATATTTATCATTATCTTAAATAACGAGTTTTCCTTATCATCCTTTTCTTTTTCCTATTAATAAAATTGGGTTTTGACACATACTATCTTCAAATTCTAAGATATATAAAAATTGTGCATGCAAGATAAAATGTTCTGTATCCCATTTTTAATTTTGGGTATAAAAGATAAAATGTTCCCAACATTAATACTTGATTGTTTGATAAACAGAAGCACTGAGCAGAAGAAAGAGGAAGCAGATGCAGAATGAAGCATATTTGTGCCAGCTTCCAAGTCCAAAAACAAAATTATTATATCTTCAAAAATTAGTCTTTGGTGGCTCACAATTCACCAATAGCTCTTTTATTTGCTTTGCGATCTGGACACATTATAGCTATGATAATAATATACTGAAACCTATTTCATACACAGTTTCATCCTTAAATTTAGAAAAGATGGGAAAACTCTCATTGTGAATATTATGTTTTTACGTAAAGGACAATCTTTTTAGCCATTTTTGGGTTATTTTCAAATATTGCTCGGAATGCATTTTCAACAGCAAAAGAAATACGAAAGTGTGGAGCCAATTTCCTTTAGCCTTTTTTCTTCCTTTAAGATGAGTGAAAAACGTTTTCTTGGAGTGGGAGTGGACACTACAAGAAATAGAAATGTGTGAAATATCAATGGGATTGCAATGGTTATGATTTATATCAATGGAGTTATCGCCTGGTTGGGATGTTGCCTGTCAATGAGAATATTACTCAACAATAAACAAAATTTCTCAATAATTATTCATGAACATACCGATGGGTATACAAATGATAATTAAAGGCATCATTAAGCTTATTTATGCATATTATTTACACGTATTGTAATTTTATTGAAAAAAAATAATAAATTTATTATAAATTTTGTCAACATATATTTTGATGTTTTAAAATGCATTAATTTAAAAATTTAATGAACTATTAGGCGGTGTATCTTAATTTAGAATATTTGACCAGCTGTAGTATCTCAAATTGATCGTAAATTAGCTGTAAATATTTGATTGCTGGCACCATCTTAGCTAGTTATTTTAGGAAATGACGCAAAGCTTTATTGTATATATACATGTATGATAATCAATACAAAAGAGAAGGGGGATTCTCTTGATTAATCCTTTTTATGGTATCAGAGCCGTTCTTGGTCTAAGATATTGTTGTGTCTCGCTGTCTCGCTCTCATGGCTGGGGAAGAAGACAAGAACGCAGACACCAACAAGGAAACCGTCAACGACGGCAGAAGCAAGAATAGGGAAACTGTCGATGGAGGGAGGATGAGGAAAACTATCTCACCCTACGACATAACTCCAAATGACAATCCTGGAATTGTGATCACACAAGTCCAACTGAAAGGTGAAAACTATGAAGAATGGGCGCGTTCACTCAGAATTGCGTTGAGAGCTAGAAAGAAATTTGGCTTTTTAGATGGAACGATCGAGAAACCAGCAGAAGGATCTGCAGATCTTGAAGATTGGTGGACCAACAACTCATTGTTGGTGTCATGGATGATGAATACCATTGAACCATCATTGCGTTCCACCATGTCACACATGGAGGTGGCGTCACAACTGTGGATAGACATCAAGGAGAGATTCTCGGTGGTCAACGGCCCTCGGATCCAACAATTGAAGGCAGAACTTGTGGATTGCAAGCAGAAAGGATCAACTATTGTAACTTATTTTGGTAAACTAAAGAAGTTATGGGAGGAATTGGCAAATTATGAGCAAATACCGACTTGCAGGTGTGGGCTGTGCACTTGCAATATAGGGGTTGTGCTGGAAAAGAAGCGTGAAGAAGAAAGGGTACATCAATTTCTTATGGGACTTGATGATACCACCTATGGTACAGTGAGATCAAACTTGCTCGCTCAAGATCCTTTACCACCACTTAATAGAGTTTACTCTGTTCTAGTGCAAGAAGAACGAGTTCGTACCATAACTCGTGGAAAAGAAGAGTCTACTGAGGTGATGAGTTTTACGGTTCAGGTCGGAAACAAGACTCGTGGAAAACATGAAGGGAGAGACAAGACTATTGTGTGCACACATTGTAATCGTTCAGGACATGATCCGAATAGCTGCTTCCAGTTGATCGGTTATCCCAAATGGTGGGGAGAGCGACCACGCAATGTTGGACAAGTATCCAATCGAGGAAAAACATGGACAACCACAAGTGGAAGAGGACGTGGAGGTCTAGTTAAAGCTAATGTAATGCAAGCAACAAGTGGTAACAATGCAGAAATTATCAATGGTCTTAGTGATGAGCAGTGGGAAGTTCTTGCAAACCTAGTGAACAATGTTAAAATAGGAACCACTGAAAAACTTTCTAGTAAGAATTTATCAATACAGTGGATAATTGATATGGGAGCCACCAAACACATGACTGGACAACTAAATTGCTTGTCTAATATAAAAGATGTCAAGCCTTGCCCTGTGATTCTTCCAAATGGGAAACATATGATTGCTACTAAGGAGGGAACAGTAGTGCTCTGTGACTCTTTGAGTCTGATCAATGTGCTATATGTGCCTAATTTGCATTATAACTTGATCTCAGTGTCTCGTTTGCTTGATAATACTAATCTTGTTGCTCAGTTTACTAAGAAGTTTTGCACTGTCCAGGACCCCATGTCGAGGATGCTGATTGGAGTGGGTGAACAACATGAGGGGCTCTACTACTTTCGAACTGTGGCTACTGCAGCAGCAATGAAAGTTGGAGGATCTGGGTCTTTTGACTTGTGGCACAAGAGGCTGGGGCATCCGTCACCTAAGGTCGTAGAGCTTGTTCCAAATATTAATTTGAGTAGAAATAGTATTTTATGTGATCGAACCTGTGATGTTTGCCTTAGAGCAAAACAAACACGAGAAAGTTTTCCTTTGAGTGATAATAAAAGTTTTGAAGTTTTTCAATTGATTCATTGTGACTTGTGGGGGCCTTATCGAAGCCCAGCCCATTGCGGTGCGCGATACTTTTTAACTATTGTTGATGACTACTCAAGAGCAGTATGGCTTTATCTCCTGGACAATAAGAAGGAAGTAACTGTACATTTGCGTAATTTCATAACTATGGTGGAGCGACAATTTAATAAGAAAGTGAAAACTGTTCGTAGTGACAACGACACTGAATTCACATGTTTGAGTCCCTATTTCTGAGAAGTTGGTATCATTCATGAGACAACTTGTCCATATACACCTCAACAAAATGGACGAGTGGAAAGGAAACATCGACATATCCTTAATGTAGCTCGTGCATTACGTTTTCAAGCTAATCTTCCAATTGAATTTTGGGGCGATTGCATCCTAACTGCAGGATATTTAATCAACCGCACTCCATCACTTGTGTTGCATGGCAAAACACCTTATGAAATCCTGCATGGTAAGCAACCCTCATTTGCGCATCTGCGGGTGTTTGGGTGTCTTTGTTATATGCACAATCAGAATCACAAGGGGGACAAATTTGCTACTCGCAGCAGGAAGTGCATTTTTGTCGGATACCCTTATGGGAAGAAGGGATGGAGAGTGTATGACATGGAGTCAGGAGTATTCATAATCTCTCGCGACGTTGTGTTCAATGAGACTGAATTCCCATATAATGCCACTAGCTTAGAAGAGCAGATCGTTGCTTCACCTACATTCGAAGGCAATGTCCTTGAAGTTGGTCCTATGGCAGAAAATGACATCAATGGCCAACATAGCACCACTATTACTGAATTGCCTACACCACTTGACAACGGTGTTTCCATGGAAAATAGCAATGATGTTTCCTTGTCTAATCAACTGAGTGAAAATGGGGAGAATGCTTCAACTGAAATAGAAAAATTAGAGGTGGTTGACACATCTACAACTAATCTTGATGCAGTAACTATACCTGTGAGGAGGGGGGTTCAAATGATATCTCAGCTCATGAATGCTTAGGCAAAGGCCAACGCATAAAGATTCCATCTACTTGACTGCAAGATTATGTAGTAAATACAGTTTGCAAGTTGAGCCCCTCTCCAAGTTCATCTATGCATTCTCATGCCTCAAGTACGCAATATCCAATAGTCAACTATGTGAATTGTGCTAAATTTTTCGTGGAACATAGGCATTTTTTGGCAGCTGTCACAGCAAACACAAAACCTCAAACATTTGCTCAAGCAGCGGGAGATGAAAGGTGGCGTCGGGCAATGCAAGAAGAGATACAGGCCTTGGATAATAATTGTACATGGACATTTGAGCCACTTCCACAAGGCAAGAAAGCTATAGGATGCAAGTGGGTTTATAAAATTAAGTATCATTCCGATGGATCTGTCGAACGGTACAAAGCTAGATTAGTGATTTTGGGTAACAACCAAATAGAAGGCCTTGACTACAATGAAACTTTTACACCAGTCGCGAAGATGGTAACGGTTCGAGTGTTCTTAGCCGTGGCAGTATCAAAACAGTGGGAATTGCATCAAATGGACGTACATAATGCTTTCTTGCATGGCGACCTTGAGGAGGAAGTGTATATGAAACCACCTCCCGGCTTTCATCCTCCTACTCCTGGTCACGTTTGTCGTCTTCACAAGTCTCTCTATGGCTTACGACAAGCACCTAGATGTTGGTTCTCTAAACTTGCGGGTGCCCTAAAGCGGTATGGTTTTGAGCAATCCTACTCTGATTACTCCTTATTCACGTTGCATAATGGATCTATACAGATCAATGTTCTTGTTTATGTGGATGACCTTATTATTTCGGGAAATAACAGCGCTGCCATACAAACTTTCAAGCAGTACTTGAGCACTTGCTTCCACATGAAAGATTTAGGCCCACTCAAATATTCTTTAGGGATAGAAGTGGCACGTAGTCCTACAGGTTTATTTTTGTGCCAAAGAAAGTATGCACTTGATATTATTTCTGAAGCAGGCCTTTTAGGAGCCAAACCTGTTGGATTTCCTCTCGAACAACATCACCAACTTCCCTTGGCTGATGGACAGCCTATCTCTGATCCGGAGCGTTATCGCCGGTTGGTCGGTCGTCTTATCTATCTCTCTGTCACACGTCCTGAACTCTCATATTGTGTACATACTCTTTCTCAATTCATGCAAAATCCACAACAAGAGCATTGGGATGCAGCTCTCCGTGTTGTGCGTTATTTGAAAGGTCATCCGGGGCAAGGTATCCTTCTTCGTGCTGACTGTGATTTGCAACTATCTGCATGGTGTGATTCTGATTGGGCTGGCTGCCCGTTGACACGACGATCCCTCACTGGTTGGTATGTACTCCTCGGCCACTCTCCCATTTCTTGGAAAACCAAGAAACAACATACTGTGTCCCGCTCTTCCGCTGAAGCTGAATACCGTTCTATGGATGCTACTGTATGTGAATTGAAATGGCTG